TCCTTGGACCCATCTGGAGTTGCTCTGCAGGACAGAGAAAGGATGGAGACACGATCTTTTGCAAAGGAGGGAAGTGGAAAAGGCCTTTCAGCTGTTCAGCCTGGGAAGTGGGGGAAGCCCTGGAGAAGGACTGGGCAGAAGATCCTGGAGGAGGAAACCATCCTCCCTTCAGAAGTTCAGCCCTGGAAGTTCATCCAATACCAGGAGGCTGAAGGTCCCCGAGGACTTTGCAGCCGACTCCATGATGTTTGCAGGCGATGGCTGAGACCAGAAAAACACACCAAAGCCCAGATGCTGGACCTGGTGGTTCTGGAGCAGCTCTTGGGTCTCCTGCCCCCAGAGATGGAGAGCTGGGTGCGGGAGTGTGGAGCAGAGACCAGCTCCCAGGCGGTGGCCCTTGCAGAAGGCTTCCTCCTGAGCCAGGCGGAGGAGCAGAAGGAGGAGGTCCAGTTGCAGGTGAGAGATTTTAGGGAGCTCAGAAGAGAATAGAGAAAGTGTCTGAATATTTCACCACTTTTTCCCAATCATATGTGGCAATTGTGGGACCAATGTTTGAACTGTATAATGAAGCGTTAGAGCAAGCCAGATGACCAAATTCATGGATTGAGGCGTTTATAATATTAATTCCAAAAGAGGGTACCGGCAATCAGCAGATCAAAAACTATAGACCAATTTCATTACTAAATGCCGACTATAAAATGTTTTTCATGATTATAGTGGAAAGGTTAAAAAAAAAATGAAATGAAATTATTCACCCCGACCAAAATGGGTGTCTTCCAAAACGACAATTTAAAAATAATACAAGAATGATAATGAATGTGTTAGAATACTGTGAAGCCCACCCTGAGAAACAGACAGCGTTGATATTTGTGGAGGCACGAAAAGTGTTTGATAATTTAAATTGGTAGTTTCTTATTGCCCATTTAATCACAATGAAATTTGGAGAAAAATTTATAGGGATGGTCAAGGCTGTATACTGTACTCAAATAGCAAAAATAAAAGTAAATAGGGATTTAACAGAGAAATGTAATATAGCCAAAGGGGTTAGATAAGAATGCCCAGTATCTCCCCTTCTATTTATTCTATCGTTGGTACAAATTAGGCAAAAACGTGACATCAAAGGATTAAGAATAAAAAAGAAGAATATGAAATACAGGCATTTGCAGATGACCTGGTTTTCATCATAGAGGACCCTTTAGAAAAGGAATAGGACTAATGCAAGAAATAGAGCAATTTGGTGAAGTGGCAAGATTAAACATAAATAAAGAGAAGACAGTAACTAAAAAACTTACACATGATTAGAAAGAGGAATCGGAGGGGAAATTGGGAATTCGGATCATTAAGAAAGTGAAGTATCTTGGAATTTGGCTGACCACAAAATGCTCCTCTATAAAAGAAGACAACTATGTTAAACTACTACAACAAATACAAAAAAAGATTTGGAAAATTGGGCCAAATTACAGTTACCATTAATTGGAAGAATTGCGACAACAAAATGAACATTTTACCCAAAATTCTATTTCTATTCCAAACAGTACCAATAAAATTAGGGATTGGGGTTTTTTTTTTTTTTTGCGGAACTAAACAAAGCAATTTTAAAGTTTATTTGGCTAGGGAAGGAAGCCCGAATAAAATTAAAACTTTTACAGGATAGTAGAAGCAAGGGAAGTTTCGGACTCCCAGATTGGGAAATCTACCACCAAGCTGCAGCCGTAACATGGTTTAAAGATTGGATAACACTTAAAAGTGAAAGGATATTAACAATAGAGGACCACGATTTAGAGCTTGGCTGGCATGAATTTGGGAAGGGAAGAATAAATCCCTTGCATATTTCCAGAGACACCAGGTAAGAGATGCTCTGCTAGATGTTTGGGGGAGAATTAAGAGAAACTATTATACCAGAATCCCATTGTGGCTAACAACTATGGAAGCAATGATATATCCCAACGTATTAGATTTAGATAAAGTAGTGAGATATAAAGAGATATTGGATGGGCAAGGGAAACTTAAATCTAACCAAGACCTAAAATCCCAAGGAATAGAAATAGACTGTTGGCCATATCTACAAATCCAGACAAAGTACAAAAAAGACTTAGATCAATATTGCTTTCAAAAAGAACAAGAACTGGATAAAATATTATGGGGAGGCAGAAGAAAAAATGATAACTAAAGCATATAACTTTCTTAAAATTTAAAATGGGAGAGAAAACAGTGAAAGAGACCAAAATGTTTGGATAAAATATTGAATTGGAATACTGGGAAAATTATGGGAGAAAAACTATAAATTAACAATGTTGGCAGCCTATAAGGAAAACATGTACAAAACGTTTTATTGTTGGCATTTACCCCCAGCAAGATTGGCCAAAATGTTTCCTACTAGGTCGGCAAACTGTTGGAGATGCAATCATGAATAAGGGATATTCTACCATATGTGATGGACCTGCCCAAAAGCTAAGAAATATTGGATGAAAATTAAAAAATGGTTCAAAGAAATTACGGAACATAAAATAGAGATGAAACCAGAACTGTTTCTCCTGGGGATTATAAAGGGAAACCTAAGCAAAGAAATTCAATATATCATACTCCTTATAATAACCGCAGCCAGAATTACTTTTGCTCAGAATTGGAAACAAGAAAACATTCCTTCGAATGCAATGATAATAAAAAAGGGGCTCAACAATGCAGAAATGGATAAAGTAACCATGGAATTAAAAGATAGAGAGGAAACAGAATACTATAAGATCTGGAATAGGTGGTACAATTGGCTAGAAACTAGATACAAAATTAATACATAAAGAGTACCTAGGAACAATAGTAAAGTGAAAAACTGTATATGCCTGTAAACATAACAAATAACGCTAAAAGTTAAAAGGGTGTGTGTGTGTGTGTGTGTGTGTATAAGTGTGTAACATGTAATGTATAAAAGACCATAACTGAAGAATTTGTAAATAGAATGGATACTGGTATCGGACCATTGTAAAGATTGGAAATGTTGTTTTAAAGTTTAAAAAGGTTGAATAAAAATTATTTAAAAATAAANAATCAAATTTGTGTGGACTTCTCGTCGCAACTTGTTACTTTTTACATATCTTGTAAAATCTGAAGACCCTCTGTCTGCTTCTTTAATCAGCTTATCTTTGGTTATCAGTAGTGCTTTTGTCAAAGTTTCTCTCCTTGGATCCATCAATTCTTCTCTTTTTTCTTCTTCTAATCCTTGAAATCTAGGGTAGAGCTCCTTTCCATCTATCTTCTCTTTCCATGTTTCACTCTTTCCATCTCCAAAAGGACCGTCCAGCGGCAAAAGTATCGACTGCGATCTCGGAGCTCTGAGATCGCACATCATATCATTGTGACGTCAGCTTCTCGTCTCCCCTGGGTTGATGATCTTTACTATGGGGAATGGTCCCATAAACTTTGGTCCCAGTTTCATGCTAGGTAGCTTCAACCTCAAATATTTTGTGGAGAGATAGACTTTCTCACCCAACTGGAATAGCTGTTGCAGAGCTTGGTGTTTATCTGTCTGTTTCTTTTAGGTTTGTGCCACTTTAGCTAGCGCTTTCTCCCAGGTTGCTTTCAGCGTTGACATCAAGCTGACTGAGGAGGGGGGATCCCTTGGGTACTCAGGTATTGGGACAAAGTCCATGTCGCTCACGGGCTAGTCCCGTGCTACTGTGAACAGCATTATTGTACGCGACCACAGCAAAAGACAGGAAGGCCGCCCAATTGGACTGCTGATAATTCATGTAGCACCTCAGGTATTCCTCTACCATAGCATTCAGTCTCTCTGCCCACCCTCCCATTGGTGTTCAGATGAAAAGCTGAGCTGAGGCCCAGGGATGATCCAAGAACTTAGCCGTGAACTGGACCACTCTGTCTGAGATGATTCTTTGTAGTACTCCATTCAGGCAGTAGATGTGCTTCAGGAACAGTTTGACCAGCTGGTGGGCTGAGGGTGGTCCGCTGAAGGGTATGAAGTGCACCTGTTTGGAGAACAAGTCTATTACAGTCCAAATCACCATGTTCCCCCCACTTTTCGGCAACTCTACTATAAAGTTCATTGCAATCTCCTCCCACAGCCTCATTGGCTCTGCTACAGGTTGCAGCAGTCTGGGGTTTTTTTCCTGGTCATTTCTTCATTGTGGCGCAGATGGTGCAACTTTTCACGTAACTGCCCACATCTTTCTTTATGCCAGGCCACCAGAACTGCCTCTGGGCTATGTGTAAAATTTTTGGAACCCAAAGTGGCTTGCCAGTTTGGCGTCGTGGATCCTCTGGAAAATTGGGGTGCATAGGAATTCCGGGACATAGAGTTTTGTCCCCTTTCATGTGAGGTCATCTCTTTATGTCAAGATGTGTTGATTGTCTCGAAACCAGGGGTCTGCTAGCAGTCCACTATTGAGTCTCATTGTTAGGTCGTTCGCTGGTTGGTCTTGCCAGTCGTGGCATTGTCACTTGGGGAGCTATTTGAGTAGGGGGAACAATGGCATCCACCACCAGCTCCTGTTCACCGGCATGTGGGAGAGGGGGGTCAGCTAGAAAGTTCCTCCCCCCAGGAATGTGCTTTGGTACGAAGTTTAAATGGTTGAAGTATTGAGTCCAGCGGACTTGTTTGGGTGATAGTTTCCGCGGGGCCCATGTACATCTCCGTTTAGATGAGGATGTTGTCCAGATAGAGGAGGACCCCCTTGTAGAGGTGATCATGCAGCACCTAGTTTATTAACTGCATGAGCACCGCTGGTGCTGCCTGCAGTCCAAAAGGCATCACGTTTAATTGGAAGCTTCCTAGGGGGGAGTTCAATGCTGTTTTCCACTCATCTCCCTCCCTGATGCATACTTGATAATTTTGTGAAGACTTTTTCCTTCGCTAGGTGAGAAAGCATGTCCTTCATGAGGGGAAGGGGGTATAAATTGTGTATACACAGGGCGCTTATTCCCCTAAAGTCAATGTATAATCTCATAGTTTCTTAATTTCTTAATTCAAAACTGACTCTGAGTGAAATTTGCATATACAGAGATAATTGTAATGGAAGAGATATTTCCTATATATTTTCAACGCTTTCATGACTCATGAATATACAAATCATCGTGTCTATATCATACCCCAGTAAGCATGCTAACATACATCCTAATCAATTTTGGAAAAATTCAGAAGGAAATTCACTTGACTTTCTATGCTTTGATCATTTTCTCTAATCTTTTCATTTTCATTGCTTTGAAGGTAATAATGGGCAGGAGAATCAATATTCCTGTGAACTGTTCCACGCGATCAATGCTAAAGATGGAACGGAGAGGTTTGGGAATCGAATGGAATTCGAAAGCCATGGAAGAAACCAGTCAAAGAATTGGAGTCAGGAAAGCTCATCTTCCTCTGATGCTCTGATGCAAGACTTTCATGTCCAACAAGAGAAAATAAGGAAAGGAGATAATGGAAAAAGTGTGAAGTTAATCAAAGCTAAAGTAAATGAACACTATTTAACCCAAAACAAAGGAAACAATGCTATAAAAAGACACAAGGGAGAAAATTACAATGGGACATTCATTCTTTCTCTTGGAAATGAGTTCCTTACATCTAAAAAAGCTATTGACACAATTGAGAAGCCTTATAAATGTTTAGAATGTGGTAAATGTTTCAGGATAAGCAGGCAACTTACTATTCACAAAAAGCTCCATACAGGAGAGAAACCGTTTAAATGCACTGAATGTGGAAAGACCTTTGCTCAAAGAAGTAATCTTACTGCTCATAAGATGATCCACACAGGGGAGAAGCCATATAAATGCATGGAGTGTGGAAAGACCTTTGCTCATAGCAGTACACTAACTTCCCATAAGATGATCCACACAGGAGAGAAGCCGTATAAATGCATGGAATGTGGAAAGACCTTTGCTCAAAGAGGTCCTCTTTTTTCCCATGAGATGATCCACACAGGGGAGAAGCCATATAAATGCATGGAGTGTGGAAAGACCTTTGCTCAAAGCAGTACACTTACTTCCCATAAGATGATCCACACAGGGGAGANCTTCCCCACCCTTCCGCCCATGGCAACATGCTAACAGACATGGAAGTGCTTTGCGAGTTGACACCTGGGGGTAGGACAAGAAGCAATTGGTGGAAATTAATAAAAGGGAGAAGAAGGAGAAATTTCCTGACATTAGAACAATTAATCAGTAGAACAGCTTGCCTCCAGAAGTTGTGAATGTTCCAACACTGGAAGGTTTTAAGAAGATATTAGATAACCAGTCTGAACTGGTGTAGGGTTTCCTGCCTAAGCAAGGGGTTGAACTAGAAGACCTCCAAAGTCCCTCCAATTCTGTTATTCTATTCTATTCCTTACCTCAAAACTGACTCTGAGTGACATTTGCATATATAGATATAATTGTAAAGAAATTTGTTTCCTAGATATTTTTAAATTTTTCATAACTCATGAATATAGAAATCACCATGTCTATATCACACCCCTGTAAGCATGCAAATATAAAACCTACTGGAATTTGAGAGAAATTCAGAAGGAAATTCACTTCACTTTTTACAGTTTGATATTTTTCTCTAACCTTGTTATCATTTTCATTTCCCATTTGCTTTGAAGGTAATAATGGGCAGGAGAATCAAGATTCCTGTGAACTGTTCCAGGTGAGCAGTGCTGAAGATGGAACGGAGAAGTTTGAATTTAGAATGGAATTTGAAAGCCATGAGAGAAACCAGTCAAAGAATTGGAATCAGGAAAGTTCATCATCCACCGATGCTCCAATGCCAAACTTTCATGCCCAACAGGAGAAGATAAGGAAAAAATACATTGGGAAAAGTGTGAAGCTAATCAAAGCTAAAGTAAATGAACACTGTTTAACCCAAGACAAAATAGATGATGCTATAAGAAGACACAAGGGACAAAATTACAATGGGACATTCATTCTTTCTCTTGAAAATAACTTCCTTATATCTCAAAAAGCTATTGACACAAAAGAGAAGCCTTATAAATGTTTAGAATGTGGAAAATGTTTCAGAACAAGCAGACAATTTACTGTCCACAAAAAGATCCACTCAGGAGAGAAGCCATATAAATGCATGGAGTGTGGGAAGACCTTTGCTCAAAGAAGTAATCTTATTTCCCATATGATGATCCACACAGGGGAGAAACCATATAAATGCATGCAGTGTGGGAAGACCTTTGCTCAAAGAAGTAATCTTATTTCCCATATGATGATCCACACAGGGGAGAAACCATATAAATGCATGCAGTGTGGGAAGACCTTTGCTCAAAGAAGTAATCTTATTTCCCATATGATGATCCACACAGGGGAGAAACCGTATAAATGCATGCAGTGTGGAAAGACATTTTCTAAAAGGAGTAATCTTACTTCTCATAAGATGATCCACACAGGGGAGAAGCCATATAAATGCATGGAGTGTGGAAAGACCTTTGCTCATAGCAGTACACTTAGTTCCCATAAGATGATCCACACAGGGGAGAAGCCGTATAAATGCATGGAGTGTGGAAAGACCTTTGCTCATAGCAGTACACTTAGTTCCCATAAGTTGATCCACACAGGGGAGAAGCCATATAAATGCATGGAGTGTGGAAAGACCTTTGCTCAAAGCAGTACACTTAGTTCCCATAAGTTGATCCACACAGGGGAGAAGCCATATAAATGCATGGAGTGT